CTCTCTCTCTCTCTCTCTCTCCCTCTCTCTCCCTCCCTCTCTCTCTCTCTCTCAGCTCTCTGTCTCCGCGTCTTCCAGTCCACACTCGCTAGCGACCGGCGCACACCTTCGGACCTCTTCCTCGATGATCAGTCCGACTCGTTCGGCTCTCTCTTCTCTCTTCTCTCTTCTCTCTTCTCTCTTCTCTCCTCTACGGTTGTCCGACAAGGCGATCGGGATCCAATCGCCGTCCGCTGTCCTGCGGATGCGGCACATTCGTCGTAACCCGATTGCTCTTAGCTTCTCACGCACGCCTCGTGCACGCACGCGACCGATCCCACGGTTAGCCTTCCACCTATCGACGCACCTCCGCCACGGGCGGGCCACCCATTCGCCGCAGACTCACGCACGTGCAAACCCATCCGACCCGACTTACATCGCGCCACGAATCTCCCACGACGCGAGAAAGCGTGCCGGAAACCAGAGGATACAGACGGGCAGACGAAACGAAGAAACCGAATAGCGTCGCGAGGACGCGAGCGGGACGAGCGCGAAAGGGTGGGAGAAAGAGAGAGAGAGAGAGAGAGAGAGAGTGAGAGAGAGAAAGAGAGGCGGGAAGAAGCAGGAAACCGTAACAACGTGCACGACAGTGTCCACGCCAATGTCCAAACACGGTCTTCCTTCCGTTCCGCGATCACGCCGACTCACTCCGCGCGACACGCCACGAAACTCTCTCTCGCCCTGTGCGGGCCTGCCTTGGCTGGATACCACCTGGTGGCAGCACCGGTGCACGCGACGCGGAACGACCAGTCGCGAGAAATTGGGCGAATCACGGAGAAGGAAGATCGAACGACGCCAAGGCCAACCAGCGGCGTGGTGCTCGATGCCGATCAGAATTGCACGAACGAGTCGAGTAGAGTAGGAGTCTCGTCGAGTCTAGTGGCCCGCGCTACCCCTAACCGCTCTCTCTCTCTCTCTCTCTCTCGCTCTCTCGCTCTCTCTCTCTCTCTCTCTCTCCACGCCGTCTCCAGGCCGAGGCAAACGCGAACGGAATTCTAATAAGGATCCCGACCGATGCGCTCGGCTATGTTCGCGCCCTCGCGAATCCCTGAATCCGTGCCAACTTTCCTTCGTCCTTCTTCCCCAATCTCGAAGGGAAGGATCGAAGGTTGAAAAAGTGGAGCAACCGCGACGGCCAGACCTTGAGACCTCTTGCAACGAGGACGCGAAAAGCGACCACCTCTCTCTCTCTCTCTCTTTCTCTCTCTCACGACTAGTTCCCGGAGACGAGCGAGAGACGCGTTTAATGGTGGACCGCGTGGAAGCTGGAGCGTACGGGAGGACTCGGTACCCGAACCGGAACACACGGCTCGAACATGCCCGTTTATACACCTAGTCTGGCGCAGTCACACTCGCGAGCAATTAACTTTCCCATCCACGCCCTCCTCTACCGCCAAACCAAAATAGACACGGTTGCGGGAAGCGCCGCGCGGTGGCAGCACCGGAGACGACGCACGAGACAGTTGCATCGGAAAACAAGCGCAACAGAGCGCGTCGCGACGAGGAATACCAGCAGAGTCGAAAGCGGAGAGGATCGGAGAAAAAGACTGGCACGAAACTGGAAGAAGAGGACGCGGAAACGAGCCGCGTGCGAAGGCGCGCGCGTGTTGGCGTGGTCCAACGGTGCGAACGAAAGCCAGTGGCCACGCCACGTGCTCGACACAACACCGTGTTGATCGAGCTGGCCACTATCCAGACGCTAGGCGTCCGCACCGATTCACCGCACCACTCACCGATGCAAACGTTTCCCTTCGCGCGTAACGCGAACACCGTCGCGACGCCGCACCGACACCACCACGGGGACGACGCTCGCCTTCACGGAGATCGTTCACCCCGACGTCGACCAGACGAATCCTTGTCCCGGCCCGTTTTTCCAACGAGCCCTTGCACGCCGATACGCGCAACACCCTCGCGTTTTCCTCTCGACATCGCGACACGACGCGACGCGACGCGACGACGCATCGTCGCGACACACGAACCAACGCGGACGCGGAACCGACTCCCGTTTCTCTGCCTCTTCCTCTCTTCTTCCTCTTATTCTTCTTCCACGTTTTCCTCGGATTTCGCCTTATCGGAGGGAACGGGACGAGAAGCCGAGCGCAGAGTCGCGAAGGGAACGCGCGTCTCGATCGTCAATCACTCGCGTCTGTCGTGCACCTCCCTCCCGCCCAAACTTATTTTTCCCAGAGGTGAACCAACCCGCCGAAAGATGGCGGCGGCGTAGCGCGCCACGAGCGCCCACCCGGTCAATACCAGAAAACGAAGAAAGGGTCCAGCTTCGGCGGCACGCTAACCTCGATTCCGAGCGCGCGCCACTGCCGCAACTCTTTATCGTCGGCGCGTTCTTGCTCTCGATCCAGGCGACTCGCGGATCGATACGCGGCTCGTGGCCTTGAACGCGGCAAACTTTTTCACCCGTCTCTCCGCGAGGTTACGCGTTTCGCCACCTGCCGCTCGCTCTATTTCGGCTCCGCGACTGGCCAAGCTAATCTCCCCCGACCTTGCACACCGGCTCCCTCCGAATCGATGGGTGGGAGGATGACATAATTTTCTTCCTGCCGACCGTCCCCCCCGTGTTTCACCGTTTAATCGAGAAAACGCGAGCCAACCGCGTCCACGCTGATTATTTTCGGATATCGAACCAACCGACCTACGACGAGGGTCTTTCCTCCGGCATTGTCGGCACTTTCGCGTTTCAATCTCGTCCCGTACGGGTCAACGGTTCCTAATGACAAGCGTGATCCGATCACCGATTAATTTCACCCGCACTATTCGCGCGTGCATTCGAACGAGAGCCTTCTGTTCCAGCGTTTCAACGATAGCGAGGCAGAGAGAGAGAGAGAGAGAGAGAGTGGAGAAAAGAAGGGAGAATCAGAGGGGAATTAAATCGGACGTAAACGTCGCGTTTAATTGTACGACGAAGAGCGAAGAGAAAAGGCCGGATCGATCCGCGATCGCGATAACTCGATCGCCGAGGTCGTGGAAATAGTTTCGTACCTGCCGCTGCTTCCACGCTATCGCGGCAACCCACTTTCCCCGTCGGACATTTTTTATTTCCAATCCGAAACCGTTCCATTCGCGAAATTTCCCGCGCAGATCGAATCGCTGACCCCGTAGCGCTCAGCGCAGGTTCCGCTCAGCGCGAAGCGCCGATCGATGCCTACCGACTTCCGTTCGATCCCGTTCGCGATCTCCGACCGTTTGGTCGACCATTTGAAAAATAGAAAAAAAAAAAAAAAAAAAAAAAAAAAAAGAAAAAAAAGAGAAAAGGAAAAAAGGGAGCGAAATTTCGAACCAAACGATTTTTAAAACTCTCACGTCCCTGTCGTGCCCGGTGTAACTCGAACGAAACGGAACTCTCCGACGAGGATCTACAGGATCTAATTACAGGGATCTAACGGAAAGAGAAAGTTTGCACTCTTTTCGAAAAAGATCCGATACGAAAAGACTCGCGACAGACACTCTTAATCACCGATAAAACGTCTCTAGGCCTCGGATGTAGGAGAAATTGCACGATTTCTCTGGTTAGAGAGACTCGGAGAGAACGGAGACACGTCGAAAGTTACTAACGATCTCGCACTCGTACCGTCACTCCACCTTGGAAGCGATCGTCTACCTCGGCAAAGAGCCCCGTGACGAAGAAACGGTGGCGAGGACAAAGGCCCGTGGGTTTCGTGCACGGATGATCGGATTACCGAGAAGACGATGAAGAAACTCGCAGACTGGCGTTGCCGTGGGTCGGCTTTGCGTGGTCGTGTGCCTTGGAGAGGAAGCTGTCGTCGGGATTCGACCAATGACTGACGCGAATGGTAGCACGGCGTCGGTATGACTGACTCTCTCTCCTGACCCAGCGTACACGACCTGGCTTGTGGCAAGCGAGCAGGCAGCAGGCGTATCCGTGGTTGGTCAGCCGGTCGACCGTTTGCTAGCGATGGACTTGATCCGATTCCCGACTTTTCCCTGTCGCGATCGATCCCACCGGGGAACTGCTTTCTTATTCGCC